TCTTTTAGACATATTTGATTGAATAACTTACAGGCATTATGTCCGCTAATTTTTAACAAAATCCGTTCTTACTCACGAATAACCTTCCGTTTTCAGATGTTTTCCAAGGACTTTCGATCTTTTTCCAAGATCATATTCAGTAGTGCACCTGATAGAAAAACTATATGTTGTTCATTATTATAAGTATTTATACTAAGTTGTGCGTTGTTATCCATTACCGTAATTTATTTCATTATGTTTTTAAGTGGAAAATGGTTGACAATGTGCTGAGCGTCCATTACAACGTGAAAAAACTATCTATTATGAAATTTTTTCCCTCTAGGTTGTAATGCCATGGACCCACGCGCATTAAAGCATGAAAAAACTGTTCCTTTATAGGCATTTCAGAACATTACAGCAGTAGTCATAGTTGATTCTGTTAAGTGCCAGCTTTAATTTTTTAATATAAATTACTTCTAGAATCTGTATTTTAAATTTATTGTTTTCATGGTGAAGGATAGTTGTGTTGCCGATTCATTTTTTTTTTATATTGTGAATGCGGACAGGAATGTTGTTGCAGATGTCTCGCAAGAGACCAATGGTCCGACATGTGAGATGGAAGCCTTCTTCTTAGTGTATGTTGTAGAGCAGTTTTCACAGTGGAGGCTTGTATTTCAATAAGTCGTCCTGAATTAAGTTCGACGTACAAAACGTTAGGAACTTGGAAATAAGAGTTAATGACGTAGCAATCTAGTTGTGATGGTTAGTACTTCAATGTCCGATATCGTCTGACTCGCTCAACACCACTGAGCCGAACTGTCGGCCGCTACTACTGCTACTACTACTACTTATTATGTGTGAGAGAGTCTATTAATAATAGAATAGGTACGTCATGTATAACAGTGTATTTGTTGTATACCAAACATCTATTGTTGTTTCTTTGTTTTTGTTTTTGTTTTTTTGTTGTTGTTGTTGGGGATACATTCTTGGAAAATTGGTATATAATATTGGTTTTAAGTAATACATGAGTAAAGAGGAGTTATTGCGAATAATTAAATTTGTTGTATTTTTTATAATATATGATTAATTCTATTTTATTTTTTTTATTAAAATCCATGGAAGATATGTCAGTATCAATGAGATTCTTTATGATTTTTCATCCTGTTTGTAGTTAGCCTGCATCTGGTAACAATATAGTAGTTTGATATATTTAGTCTCCTTTGGGGAAGTACCATGTTCTTTTTGACGTTTATTGAGGTTTTTGATATATCGTCTTATTTGTTCATCTACAATGTGCTTTGGGAAGACATTATTAATAAAAGTCTGCTTAAAAACTTTTTTAGCTCATTGTGGGTGAATTAATTTGTGCTCGTTTAATTAAATTCTGTATAAATGCTATTTTGTACTAATCTGGACATTCACCATCATAATTGAGAGTTGGAGACGTTTTGCTGGTTGGGTTTTTATATGGAGCGGTAGTAAATGTGATGTTATTTGTATCTATTAAAATGTCAATAAAGGGATTTTTCTATCTTTGTTAAGTTTGTATGTGAACTTGAGGACGGTTTGTTTTTTTTTAGTCCCATTATTTCTTCAATGTTTTTAACTAAAATAAGTATATCCTCTACATATCTTAGGTAGATGGAGGGTTTCTTGGTGGTACTAAATATATTATTTTCTAGGTTGGCGATGTGTAAGTCATTAAAGGTCGGACCCAAAACTGAACACATTGAAACGCCATAACGTTTCACATATACGTTATTTCTGTGATCATAAAATAGGACTTCGGTGATACAGGTTAGAAATAATTTTCTTAATATTTTAGGCTTAAATTTTACTGGGGGTAGAGAAGAATTATTATATATATTTTAATAATAATGCTGTTGGTTTCTCTAACTGGAACGTTAGTGAACAGATTTTCAACGTCAAGTGATGCTACGTTTTCATTATTGCGTTTTTTGGATTTTAATATTTTAATAAGTTCAAGGGTTGATTTAATGCTATATTTGTTAGGTATGTATAGTGGAGGTAATTGGTTATGGATTTTAGTTAGTAGACAGGTGTGTAAATTTGGGTTATAATAGTGCGGTGTGGAAAGTTAGTTTTTTTGCGTTTTGATAGAACTATAAATGTATCCTGGTTTATAGTCTCCGATTATTTTGGTAAGTTTTAGATTGTCTTCTTCCGCATTGATAGCTGGGATTATTTTATTAATTTTCGCTTTTAGCTAAGTAGTAGGATTATTAGTAAGTTTTCTAAAGTTGGTGGGATCATCAAGTAACTGTTCCATTTTTGAGTTGTAGTCAGATTGTTTAAAACATCAGAGATGTTTGCTTTATCAGTCGCCTTAATTACTATTTCTAGGTGGATACGTAATTCTTTTGCGGCATTTTTAAATGATTTATTTAGGAGTTTAGATAAATTTTCCCTTTTATCATGTCTGTCTTTTATAGATTCCGCTTTAAATAGATCTCGGATTTCTGATTCAGCTGCTGTTCCTGGAGTTTAATTATATTTTGGT